AGAAATAGGATAAATGATTTCATTATCTAGAAGTTTAATGACTTTATTTTTCACTATTTCTTTCATATTAGGATTCAACCTGCGTTGTATTTCTCTAGAGAGTTTAGTATTTTTCTCTAAATAAATTCTATGTGTGCAAATCAAAGAACTAATTCCTTTTATGTCAGTTATAGTCCATCCTAATACATTTTTGTGCATTTTTAGAGTTTGTAATAACTTACCTTCTTGATGTGCATTAAGTTTGGAAAAGATTATTATCGGAAAAGTTTCATTTTCTCTTAAAAATTAGTATTTGAGATTGAATGGTAACGGCTTCAAATCAAGTTTGGGTGGTTGAATACTTCAAAGTATGGACTTAATTAATCGTGATGACAATTTCTCAATTTGTGGTCTCCAATTACTTGCCTTTGATTCTTCCTAAAAATAAACCATTTGTAAATCATCAAATTCATCAATCTCAGTTTCACTTGAAGTGGTTTGAAATTGATCATGAACTAATTTTTATGCAAAGTCCACTTCTTGTAAATCATTATCATCTTTAAGTTGCTTGCAAATGTTAAAAATATTCATCTCCAATGTCATGTTTCCAAAAGATAGCTTCATCAATCCATTCCTCCCCGGTAACGGTGCCAAAAACTTGACACGATCAAAAGATTGATGTCTTCTCCCAAGTGTAAGAGTGTTGAAGTAATAAATAACCCAGCAAGACCGGTGTCGAATCACAAGGAAATTAATTGTATAAATTATAAATAACAGCAATACAATAACAACAACAACAACCACAATAATAATAATAATAATAGTAACAAAAATAGTAATAGTAATAATAACAATAATAGTAATAGTAGTAGAAGAAGAAGTTTATGAGAACTTTGAGATAGAAGATCAATGTAAGGATTAAACATTGATAACAACAAATGTCAAGGTCAGATGATCCACTAATGGTATTTCAAACAAGTATAGTATAAACTTTTATTACTCAAATGGAAACCACACATAAAGACGGTTTCGATCAGATTATAAATTTTTAACATTATTATATTAGTTATCTTATTTGAATAATGTTAATAGTTGTAAATATTGTTAGGTATTCATAATTATAACTTATGTTAACAACAAATCAAGTTCCTTTTATAACACAAGTATCGGATATACCATACGGTTTGTGCTATAAAAGTAACAAGCATTTGTTGTGCCCAAGTGTTATACAATATAAATCTAGATTAGTTCTTTAACAAGCAAAGTATTAAAGAGTGAACAAGATAACAAATATAAAACATGTTAGTATCAAACATTAAAGTCCATATTAAGTTTACATTATACT